CATGCAACTAACACTCTCCCTGCCACATAGTCAGAGATGCACCTGCCCTTATCCCAGCTCTTAAGTCAGATTGTTCTCTTCAAGTCAGCTCCTCCGTCTATCATATTACACATTTACTTGTGACTTTGGGAAGTAGTGGAGGATTTGATCTTAGTAAATTTTTCCACAGGGAAATGCTTATCTCTTTTATGGCTACAAGTGTATTCAATTAGGAATAATAATGATAATGCTTGTGCATGAAAAGCTTAACTTTTCTTGAATTAGAGTCTCTCATGTTCATCAGAGCTTTGGGAAATTGTATAACCTGCTGTATGTGTGGTGCTTCATAAACAGAGTTTATGGTCATTGATTACATGACGCAAGGAAACAGTTGCATTTTATAAACAGTTCTAACAATTTTGAAGGGAGTAAAATACTTTAAGCACTGCAATGAAAATATAAACCATTATAAATTCAAGACAATGCACTAAATTAATATCATATTGAGTGAAACAGAAGAGGCCTGATTCTGAATTAACTTATTTCAATATTTCACTAGTTTCAGTCTCTTGACCTAAGAAAACTGGATGAGATCACTACATAAGCAAAATATGCTCAAAGCTGAATGATATTTTGCTTATGTGATGGGAAAGACTGGGGGAGATGAAGCCCTTCGAGACGCTGATACTTTTTTTCAGGTATCTTAGGACAAGCAGCAAAGTATAAAAGCAGAGATGTTTATTAGAATGTTTCCAATCTTAAGTTGCAGGGTCCTACCAAAAGGTTTTGAAACTGTCAGCATGGCCCTTTGTAAGTTTGTTATTTGTCATGTGTTTTAGATTTGTTAGAGGAAGTTTTCTAATGTACACTTTCAGTTTTTCTCTACTGTAAACAACTCTTCAATACAGAAAGTTGTACTAAGAGCCAAGTTGGACTTTCACTGGTCACCAAGGTCAACTGCAGAACCAAGTCTGACCTTCAATCTCTGACTCCAATTAGTCGCAGAACTAATTTATTTTTCATTTTCCAGGCCATTTGTCTTCTTGGAAACCACAGTGACTTACATGATTCCAAGAGTTACACTCGGAAAAAATTATTGTAGTGTGTTCATCTGTATTTAGTTTTAACACGTGTTCATACTAGTGATTTATACACCACAAAAGGTGCTAGTTTATTTGAATCAGAAGATTTCGTGGCTCCGTTACTGTTTGTGTCTGGAATATGTTCTTCTCAGTACGAATGCGGCTTGATTTTGATCTTTTTATGTTTTCCTAAGCATAGGTACATAGATGTACTGGAGCACACATCAGGTAGTCATGTTTTAGCTATTTGGTTAAATTTTCTCCTGCTCTGTATTGTGAACAACACTGCAGAACTTCTTCAAGAATTCAGTTTCTATGAATTTGCACTAAAGTTACGTGCAGCTGGCTGTTCAGTGAATATAAGTTTTCTTTGTGCGTATTGGAGATACAATAGCTGTATGATTTCCAGAATTTAGCAAATCATACTCTGTGGTATATCAGCACTATTTTTTCATCAGTGAAGAAGAATTACGTTTCCTTTGTGGTGCAGTACTGCAGTGTTCTTTACCAAGAACAATAACTAGAATTAAGCGTATTGCTTATCGTTATATAGGGTAAATAATAATCTTAATTCTCTTTCTCACTCCTTGTGTCCTGGATAATATAGAAAATATATACATACATATATACATAAAACGGAAAAGTCAAAGTTAGCTGTGTAAGTTTAGACAATGATAACCAAGAAGAATAAAATCCTCAGAAAGAGATACTTGTTAGAGTGTTCTCGGTAGCACTCAGATTTCAGAATGTCCCAGAGACAGACACCTTGCATCCATAATGCTTCTTCTAGGTAGCTTGTACGCAACCTGAGGACCAAGCAGACTGATTTCTGTCCTGTATTGTATTGCATAGGATGGAAAACCAGATAAACATGTCAGAGGGAATCACAGCATTTTCATGGAGTCTAGACACAGCCTCACTCTTCTGCTGAAAACACCTTTGCCACTATAACCTATTCTTCAGTTAAGGTACTGACTACCATGTAGCAAGAAAGGACCAGTTTGGGAAACATGCCTCTCTGTGAAAACACTCTGTCCTTGAGACCTTCCTACAGTTATGATGTCCTGGACTTTATGCAGGTCAAATTTGCAGGCGCACAGTTTCACCATTCCTAATCACAAATCCATTGCTCTGATGTGAAAGCACATGCAGTGCACACTGTGCTTTTCATAAATCTATGAAAAAAATATGATTTAAAGAAGTATCTTCTTGAATGGTAGCAATTTATATATTAATTCTGTTTGTGTCAAGCTATTTAAAATTTGGGTTTTTTCCATTTCTAGAGCTAATCTTGGAACACAGTGTCCAGGGAGACAGACGGCGGAAGAATTTTGAGGTTGATTTCTAAAAGCCTCCCAGTTTCCCCATTGGTAGCGACTGTGGGATTTTTTTGGAAGCCATACGGAATGCGCTTTTTACAGTTTTCCAGAGAAACATCCAGTATGGGCATTCTCAGAGCCCTCTCATACTGTCTAGGTTAGCAGCCAATCCTTCTTACACTTTGATATTTTAAGCTCACTAGAGTTTCAGTTGGTAGCTGCCAATGACATATCACTTAGAGTCACTTTAGCAATCACTGTAGGAAAAACACTGCACTGCTTATGTTTTCTTTAGAAAAAGGAAAGAAAAAAAGTTAAGTGCATGCAGTAGTGAGTCAGTGGCAAGACGCAACCTTGGAGTTTTTCAAATAAGCAGTGGAAACAGGCTAATTCTAAGCTGTCAGTGGATAATATGTATGATTCAATGCTTTAGATATTCTGCAGAAAGCTATGGCTCAGGATCTCATTGGTGATCTAGCTACTTCAAAGGCCCCCTTGAGAGACTCATTTCCCATCACGCAAACACTGTGTTGGTCTGATGTAAAGATGTCTTTGAGGATCCTCTTGCAAATACTCCTGTGAGAGGCATGCTAGGATGGAGTCGAGACCCAGGAGCCTATTGTGGTACAACTGGACTTTCCAGCACTGTAGAGTTTGGGAGAATCTGAGGCTGATAAGGAAATTCATGTATATGCCTGATAGAATTGGCTTGAGGTGCAAGCAGAAGGTAATATCACAAGAGGTCTTGAGTCACCAGAGTAGGTCTGGAGGACCTTGCTCATCTCAATCCCATCCTTGCAAACCTTGCTGTAGGTCTATCCATGCAATGTATAAGCATATGACACGTATCCATCTACATCTATTGAAATAAATCTCAGTTCACGTGAGTAACAACCCTACAGCTAATATGTAAATTCTATTGGAAGTTTAATTAAGCAAGAAAATGTGTAAGTAGATGCTATAAGAACCCAAAACTTTAGAGAATATTTTCATAGACAATGAGAAGAAAAAATAATGAGATGCTGTTAGCCTCATTGTCTCCAAGAGGAAATTTTTTTGGGAAAAAAAATCTCACAGGTGGCTCAAGGATGCTTAAAATTCCTGATTCATTGTGCTAAAACATTGATAATTTATGTTAAAATCAGTGTGAGAAAATGCAATGTCATACGGGTTTCCTTTTCAAAGTAGAACCACACCTGAGCACTGCATTAAGGACTAAAGACTAGATGGGGGGGTTGAAAATTTTTTTTTTTCTGTAATACAGCATAGAAATTTATGGAAATGAACTTCTGGATTAAGAGAATAAGATCATTGTCAATGATTTTTTCCCCAGGAATATATTCCTAATTCTAGATTTAAAGGTTTCTACCTTTAGATCTGCATTTGTGAAACAGATATTCAAAGCACCACATTCCTTATTTCTAATGTTTTTGACATATGTCCCCTCACTCCATAAATACCTGCATCTGTAAGTTCATTGTATAAGGTGTGAAGACTCCTTTCTTTGCTTTAAGTTTCACTCAGAACTGTTTTTTGTTTACCTTTTCCATTGCTACCATCATTAGCACACATTGTAAGGGGAGTGGAGTTAAGGATATAAAGAGGAGACACCTCTGTCTGATTCCTAAAGACACTGAGCCCCTCTTTTGTCAAGAATATAGAGGGAAATGCAGGTTTCGAAAACCCAACTCACTCATTTTATGTCATTTTCTAGATCGCTGAATGTTTCCAGTCATTTCCCACACAGTTATGGCAGCCAATCAACGTAAGGAAAAGTAAAATAGTAAAGAGAAAAAAAGAATGGGCAATAAAGAAACCATAAAGAAAAGTGCAAATCAAAGTGCAGAACAGAGAAAAAAAATCCAAAACAAGAGGAGAAAAATAAAAAACAATACAAGGAATAAGAAGAAGATGGAAAGAATAAGAAGCTGGTGGGGAGAAGGTTTTTCAGAACAAGAAATATGTGGAGAGAGAGAACGTGTACAGAATTTGGAAATGCATACTAGGCCAACATACAGCTTTGGCTAAACAACCGGAGAGCCTGAGGCCTGAGTCAGTGTTGGATTCATATACCTCCCATATTACTCAAAACTGAGAGTCTGAATTTACTAGCTCAATCTGCATTTAATATTTAAGTTATTGAGACAGCAACAATGAATTCTCTTATTCTCAAACCAGACGCAGGGCTGTGGCACAACTCTGTTCCCACTTAGCAAGGCTATGCAGTCATGGACCCAGTCTCAGTTCACACTGGGATGAGATCAAGTCTCTAAGTTTGGAATGATATTTTAGCTCATCTGTTCCTCAGTTCTGGATCATTTATATCCAGGCTTTAACTTTGTGTTCTGTTTTCTTTTCTGTCCATTGCTTCTCTGATTATGGGTATTAAGTCTGGGGACTGGGCTGGGTTGTGATGTATCCAAACTCACTTGCATTGTTGGCAAATCTTTCATCATTTATCTCCCAAAGGAGATGGAAGTATTTGCTTACTATAGTCTTATGACAGGAATCTTACAGAAAATAAACCAATTTTACTTTAGAGTGAAAGCATCACAAAAGCTTGTGCCAGTAGGAAGCAGAGTAGACACCAAAAAATTATACACAAAAAGGAGGATCTCACCTTGAAGGAGGCTTCAAATCTTACTCTACAATGTATTTTGCAATAGTTTGTTGACCTGTTCTTCAGCCACAGAAAAAGTGCATCAGCAGCTGAGCCTTACTGCTTATTCTGTGGTGCAGGAAGGGCTGTAATTAAAGCTGTTCTTGTTACAAAACAGTGCACTTACAGTTGAAGGAAACAATAATGCTCAGATTCAGTAGAGTTGCTAACTTAGTTCTTTTATGCAATGTATATTTCTTACTCTAAGCTGCTGGAAACAGTTCTAAATAGCAGACCTAAGGTAGTGTTTCCATAGACAGCCACTGAGCTTGGGAGAAATATTTAGCAAGAAGGTTCCCCTGAGACATACATGTGGGTTGTTGTTAAACCGGATTTGTTACTTAGAGGGTAAGCTACCAGCTATTCTGTTTTCTGTTAACTCACAGGACTCTTGTTTTCTGAGCAAAAAAGTCTTTATTTGCATTTGCCATTAGTCTCTGAAATAAAACAATTCCAGTTACTTATTACTGTTATTGCTGCTGGCAAGAAAACTACTTTTACAAGCCGTACAAGTAACTATAATAATAATATCTTCCTGAGACTTGCTGTTCAACACACCTTTACCTTATTTAACAGTGGCGCAGTGCCAACTGGGACCACCCATTCTTGGAAATATAAAGGACCAGCACAAATTGGAAAAATGTTGATTGTTGAATCATCATGTGGAATATCCAGTTCCAGTTCCTCAGGGCAACACTTAACAGCAACCCACACGAAATGCCGGGTCACAGAGAGAAGCTCTGAGCCTGTCTGTGGCCCTGATTCAGGAAAACATTTTTATTCAGCAGTGGTGCTTAAGTGTATTCTAATGGTTAGCATGTGTTTTAAAGCCTTTTGACTTCAGTGGCTTTTAGACACTTTCATAAGGTCTTGTGGCTAAGCCAGAAGAAATCATCTCTCCTTGAACAAAATTTTGTGAAGATTGTGTGACCCTCTGCCAGCCTTTCCCCAACACTTTAGTACTTTTTCTGACACCTGCAGTGACATAAAAGCTACTACCGTGTGTTTAAGTATGCAGGTATAAAAGTGTTACTTTTGATTTATCCCCCATAGGACAGCAAATAAGCTTACTGAAATAAAAGGATCACTGGCATACAAAGACAGCTTTTGCTTAAAATAATCCCATCATCTGAAAAACTACCTAAGGACAGAATGTGCCTGTAGACCATGAAGGCTTTGGTTTCAAGCAGAAATTATGGGGTCACTTAATCAGATTCATAGACTTTTCACTCCTGCTGAGAATTTAATAGAAAGCACCATTCTCTGAGTTTAGCTTTCTTGTACTTTTAATAGGTTCTAGCTCTAGAATAATTGACAACTCTCATATTACTTAATATATTATCAGGATATGAAGCTACTGATAATTCTGACAATGTATATGAGTAATCTAGCATTCAGGTACTTAAATTTGGACAGTTAGATAAAAGGATAAAACAAAATATGGGGCAGGAAGACATCAGTGGATTAATGTGCCATTAATGTATCAATGGGGATTAAACATAGCAGTTCCTCATTGAATAATTTAGGCTATTTGGAAAGAATTTATTTTTTTCATGAAGTAAAGCAAAGAAGATAAGAGTGATATTCATTCCTTAGCAGAAAAAGCAACCAATGTTTCACAGAGTCACATAGAATCTTGTCTTAGTCAGAAAAGTCACATTAACTTTTGGAAGTTCATAATACATCAAGCTCTTTTCATAGTACTGTTTATAAACAGACTTTTCTGGGGTTCTGATTTTCCTTGTGGACATAAATTTCTTCTGTGACATGAATATGTCTATGCTATCTGTAAGATTTGTGAAATTAAAAATCTAGGATATCTGTAAATATTTCTTTGCCTAATTAATGAGGATTGTATATAAAACAACAGCAAAGTAATACATTCTAGTAAGCCCTCCCAGACTTCAGCAATAACAAAGAAGTCTACTGAGCTGGAAGAGTGGTACAAGGGGTGCTGGAGTATGTTCAAAGAAAGCCAACAGACCTGGTGAAGAGTCTGGAACGTAAGTCCTATGAGGAGAGGCTGAGGGAGCTGGGGTAGTTTAGCCTGGAGAAAAGGAGCCTCACGGGTGATCTTATCACTCTCTGTAACCATCTGAAAGGTGATAGTAGCCAGGTGGGGATCAGTTTCTTGTCCCAGGTAAAAAACAACAGGACAAGAGGAAATGGCCTCAAGTCTCACCAGGTGAGTTTTGGATTAGATATTAGGGATGATTTCTTCACCTTTAAGGTGAAGCTGTCAAGCGTTGGGACAGACTGCCCAGAACAGTGGTGCAGTCATCACTCCTGAAAGTGTTCACAATCATGTGGATATGGCACCTGAAGATGTGATTTCATGATGAACAGGGTGGTGGTGCTGGATTGATGGTTGGACTTGGTGACCTTAGAGGTGACCTTAGAGGTCTTTGCCTCAGTGGTTCTGTGATTCCATGAAGCACCTATGCAACACTATTCCAGAGAAAGAAAATGAGATTAAGCATTCAGCAAGGTTTGAAAAAGTAATGGACATTTACATGAGGTTTAAGAACTTCAGACTTAGACCTGCTAAATGTAAAACATTTTGAAAGGATTTAGTGAAACGTTTTGATGCCTAAGCTGTTGTCAAAGATTAGGATTCAAGATGAAAGGTAACATGACAGATGATTATCTGACACTTCTTACACCTTTCTTTGGTATTTACATCTGGTATTTACAACGATCACAGGTAAGGTATTGAACTCTAATGGCAGAACAACTGAATGGCAGATGTTGTGAATCCTTTGAGATAGTTTAGAGTGAGTATGTTTTCCAAAAGTATTTCCTGTGCTAGGGGGTATGAATATGTTTGAATGTACAGGTAGGGGAAAGGGTGTGTTACTTGGATAATCTGTCAATTTTTGAGATTGTTCTAACCCCTCTTATTAGGGGTATTCATTATGGATATTGGGTCTTTGTATTCTGCTAATGAGATAATACCATACAAAAACCATTTAGCATGCAATCATGCCACAAAGCTTTGTTTTGATTATAAAGAAAAAATATATATTCTGCAAGTTCATAGGCTTTCCTCTTGCTTTTTCTTTTTGATGTAACTACACAAATTTCTGTAACTACATCACTGAAATGTGTGTATCCTTGACTCCTTTCTGAAAAGCAACTAGAAGTAGTGAAAAGGCAGTAAAAAACATAGAAAAAACATCCAGTCACCTAAGCTACTCAATAATATTGAATTCCAAACTATGGCTTTTAAAAATGGAGTGATTTGAGCATAGTAATTTAAACATCTCTCCTGAAGGACAGATGATCTTCACCCATGTGATAATACTGCTGGGTTCACTCCAAGAAAGGAATCTCTGCTAATATTTTAAATTTTTTTTTACTAAAAAGACCATAGCATGGGGCAGAAATACCACCTAGCTAGAGAACTCCAGGTGATTGTGAAGAGGTACTAGTGCTGTAGCTGGATGGAAACCTTGGTGAACAGACTGCAGTTATCATACTTTTGTAAGTCAGTTTATGTTGGTGGCAAAGACTCAAGAACATCCATGCTTTGTGTATCATGTCTAAAGGACATATTGCAAGTTTTGCTTATCTCTAAATCAGTTCAGCAAATCTTAATTTGTCCATGAATAAAAGGCCTCTTTGTCCAAGAATAAAAGGCAGCAGGAGACAATGAGATATTTTATTATTCTCTCATCACCTTAGTTCTCTCCCTGTATTTCCAAGGAAACAATTCATGTGGAACAAACATGTGCAAAGAACACAAGATCCACATAAAAGGGCACCAAGCATCCTGTTTGTGAATAGTTGTCATGTAGTTGCAGCCAGCTGCCATCATGTAATGATGATTTATGTTTTGGCTACCATTTGCTTGGCTTGCTTGTGATTGGCTTTTAATCCTGACTAGGTGGAATGATTGAGCTGCTTTCAAAAAACATGGCACTTGAAATTGAGCAGTTGTTACTGTTTTTCTTAATCCATCTGTCAGCTGAAGAAGATCAATCTAATCAATCTGGTTCTAACACTGGTGAACAGAACTCACAGACAGCATGAAAGGGCAACAGAATGCAGATCCAATGTTCGTATTTGGGCTGAAGGAGAAGCAACCACACCAGATAGTCATGCTAATTTTTATGTAAGAAGCTCTGATTAAGAGAGAATTTGAGAAGGATGCTTTATCTTGCCAAAGAGTATAATAGACAGTACAGAGAAGAAGGAAAATTCTGGTGAAGAGTATGTGTCACTGGCAATCATCTAGGCTGAAGACCTATGAAATCTGTTTGCGTGAGGCCTCCGCTTAAGTGGCCAAAAATATTTAAATGTAATTACCAAGTTCTCAGTTGAATAATTTGGCAAGCTTATGAAACATGTGCAAAGGGTTTCCATCGCCTCATGTGGTCCTTGTGCTTGTGAAGGGTGAGAAACACTTAAACTGAAACAGTCCTGATGTATGGGTTCTCTGCTGGACCAGCATTTTTAACTTAGTTTCCAGGGGTCAGCTACTTTAAAGTTGGAAAGTTTTGCTAATTAATTCCCAGCCAACATGGCTTCTTGACTTACAAAAGGGAGCAAACAAAGCAGGGACAACAAAAAGCCTTCTTAAGGGGAGTGTTACAAATTAAAAAAAAAAACTAATCAAAATGAAACCAAAACAAACCAACGACACTTTAAACTGTCTTATAATTTCAAATGCTGTTTCTGTGAATAAAAGGCCTTGGGAAAGACACTTTCTATCCATGCAGCAGAGCAGCAGTGTATGTATATTACTGAACTCTTCATGACCTGTACTTAAATTACTGAGAATACAGTACCAGGCAATCTGATCTAAAAATAACACCTACAGTATATATAATACATGTTAACTGTGATCTGAAGAAAAGTATAGAGAAAAAGGATCTATGCTCCTTTTTAATATTTTTTTTTAGCATGGATAATATAAAAATTCCTCAGAGTTAAAAATTATGATTTTAAAGGCTTCAGGACTTCTCACTAGATTTTTCTTCCTGGATGTAAGCTGAACTATATGAGTGGTGCTGTTTTTTAAGTGTAAATAACCTCCACTTCCTCAGGCTTTATTATTCCTCCCTTTCGCAAAGTTATTAAATAAAATCTGCAAAATGTTCCTCTCCCTTCTGTCCCAGAAACAATTAGAAAAATACAGTTCCAAATATCATAACATAGCTTCCTATTAAATTCAAATGGAAAGTTGTAAACAATCAATGTAGCACCATTATTTTCATGCAAGATTCTAGGCTGAATGCAGTGAATTTGTAGAATTTCATCTGTGTATGTGTGTGTCTCAATGAACAGTTTTAGTGGGTAGCAGTGTCTACTGTAGGTAATTAAGATGTTCCTTCAATTCTATTTCCATAAACCTATGACTGATCACAAATTGAGGAACTTATAAGTCTATTTCTTGGACCAGGACTTTGTGTCTCATTCTGTGTTAAGCAAAACATGGAAAGAGTCAGTTCAGTTTGCTATTAAGGAAGAAAATTCCACGAAAAAGTTTTTTCACATAAAGTTTTATGAAAAGGAATTACTGAGAGATCGAGTAATTAGTGAATGGATACTTTAAGTTTCCTTTAGGGCATATGGTAAGATCCCAAATATAAGCTCTGAGAGTTCTGATTAAGCCCCCACGGAAAAACTATTCATGATTTTCTCAGTTGAGAATATACA